GTCTGCACTCGAACAGAGGCGGAGAGTTCTCCTCTGGCCTTCTGTGTGCTTTCTGTCGTGCGCGAGGCATCCATCAGACATTCACGCTTCCGGACTCACCGCAGCAAAATGGGATTGCAGAGCGCCGCATTGGCATGGTCATGGACGTCGCTCGTACGTCTATGATGCATGCGGCTGCCCCCCATTTTCTGTGGCCGTTTGCGGTCAGGTACGCGGCGCATCAGATCAACCTCCACCCCAGGGTCTCCAGGCCGGAGACCTCCCCAGCCCTGCTGTGGACGGGGAAGGTTGGCGATGCGTCGGCGTTCAAGGTCTAGGGATCTCGGGCATTTGTCCGCGATTTGTCTGCGGACAAGCTGTCCCCTCACGCTGCTCCCTGCGTCTTCCTGGGGTTCCCCCCCGACGCCCCTGAGTGGCAGTTCTACCACCCCACCTCTCGCGGTGTTCTGTCCTCCCAGGACGTCACGTTTGACGAGTTGGTACCCTACTACCGCCTCTTCCCCTACCGCACTCCGTCCCTCCCCCCGCCCCCGCTCTTCTTGGTACCAGGTCCCCCCCCGGTAGACCCCCTCCCCCCTCAGGGTCCTGCCCCTTCAGGTGTGTCCCAGGTAGACGCGGTCGAGCCTGTCGAGGTCACTGGTGACTCTGGTGCTGCTGCGGGAGCTGAGCCTGGGGGTGCTGGGACTGGAGGTGCTAAACCTGGGGGTGCTGAGCCTGGGGGTGCGGAGTCTGGGGGTGCTGAGCCTGGGGGTGCTAAGCCTGGGGGTGCTGAGCCTGGGGGTGCTGGGCCTGGGGGTGCTGAGCCTGGGGGTGCTGAGCCTGGGGGTGCTGAGCCTGGGGGTGCTGGGCCTGGAGGTACTACGCCTGGAGGTGCTTTGCCTGGGGGTGCTGAGCCTAGATTTTCTTCACCTCGAGGTTCTCCGGGTGCTTCGTTTCGCCGGGAGCCACTCTCCCTGAGGAGTTGCGTCAGTGGTTTGCCCGGCGCTGGAGGCGTGCTGCTGGTGCTGGAGGTTCTTCGGCTACTGAGGGTGCTGCTGCCGCCGGTCCTGGAGGTGCTCGTCCTTGGAGTCCTGGAGCTGCTGGGCCTACGGGTTCGACTAGAGCTGGTGCTGCTGAGGGTGTTGGCGCTGAGACTGTCCCTGGCGGTCCGACTCGCGGTGCTCCTGGTGCTGCTGGAGGTTCTGGGACTGCTGGAGGTGCTCTTGGGGGTTCCGGTGCTGCTGGAGGTGCTGCTGCTGGGGGTACTGGTGCTGTCCCTGCTGTTTCTGGCGTCACCACGCGGCCCCGACCGTACTTCGTTACGCTCCTGCAGCAGGTTCTTGGTCTTACGCCTTCTTCTCGTCCTCCTCCTTCTCCCTTAGCGGGTCCACAGCCTGTCCTGTCACAATCACAGCTACAGCCTGCCTCCCCTTTGCCTGCTCCTTCTCCCTACACTGGTCCGACTGGAGGTCTTACTGAGCGTCGTGAGCCTGCGTCCTGCGTCGCCTGTTCGTACTGCGCGCACTAGTGCTCGCGGTTCGCGTCAGCGTCCTCCTCCTGTCCCTGGCACGCACCGGATGTCTCTGCGTCAATCCACTGCTCCTCTGCGTGCCCCTTTGCCTTCTCCTGCTTCCTCTCTTCCTGCTCTTGCCGACCCGGAGTCGGACTCTCTTCGTGCTGCCAGTCCTACTATTACGCGTCTTCTTGCTACTGCTTTCTCTGACCCTTCTTTCGAGTCTTCTGCTCCGTCTGCCCTTGTCACTGAGCTCGTCGACTTTGCTGCTCGCTGTCGTCTAGACTACGCTGCTAGTCTTGTCGCTGAGTCTGAGTCTGCCTGTCCTCCGTCCGTCGGGGGTGAGTGTGCCCTTGGCACGGACGTCCTTGAGGATAGGCAGGAGGAGTTCTAGTGTCTGGCCGCCGCTTCACCTCATCTCGCGTCTGTACTGCTCGCCCCTGAAGGAGACCCGGATGCACTAGACATCGCTCTTACGCGGAGGCGATAGAGGGTCCCTACTCCTCTCAGTGGCAGGCAGCTATGGATGCAAAGATGGCTTCTTGGAGGTCCACAGGCACCTACGTTGACGCTGTTCCCCCTCCTGGGGCGAACATAGTCACTGGCATGTGGATCTTCAGGGTGAAGCGGCCGCCGGGTTCTCCGCCTGTCTTCAAGGCGCGTTACGTGGCTCGTAGCTTCAGACAGCGGCAGGGAGTTGACTACTTTCAGACCTTCTCCCCCACCTCGAAGATGACCACTCTCCGGGTACTGCTGCACGTTGCTGCTCACCGTGACTACGAGCTGCACTCTCTCGACTTCAGCACAGCTTTCTTGCAGGGCAGCATGCACGAGGAGATCTGGCTGCGTCGCCCACCTGGCTTCACTGGGTCTTTCCCTCCTGGCACCCAGTGGAGCCTCCGGCGCCCAGTCTACGGTCTCTGCCAGGCGCCACGTGAGTGGCACGACACACTGAGGACTACGCTGGCGGCACTTGGGTTTACTCCTTCTATTGCCGACCCGTCGCTGTTTCTGGGCACCAACACCTCTTTGCCGCCGTTCTACATCCTCGTGTACGTCGACGACTTGGTCTTTGCCACAGGTGACACTGCTGAACTTGCCCACGTGAAGTCCGAGCTGCAGAAGAGACAGACGTGCACTGACCTCGGTGAACTGCGCAGCTACCTTGGCTTGCAGATCACCCGGGACAGAGCACGCCGCACCATTACTCTGACTCAGTCACACATGGTGCAGCAGGTCCTTCAGCGCTTCGGCTTCACGTACTCCTCGCCTTAGGCCACTCCTCTGCCTACTCTCCACTCGCTCTCAGCTCTGCCTTCGGATGAGTCCGTAGAGTCGAGTGGCCCGTATGAAGAGCTTGTTGGCTGCCTCATGTACCTGATGACCTGCACACGACCTGACCTTGCATACCCTCTTAGCATTCTCGCACGCTATGTTGCTCCTGGGAGACACCGACCAGAGCACATGGCTGCAGCGAAGAGGGTGTTCCGCTACTTGTGCGGTACGTCGGGCATGGGGCTAGTTCTTGGAGGGCGCAGTCCAGTGGTCCTCACTGGGCACGCGGACGCTTCTTGGGCTGACTACCAGGCTAGGCAGCGGTCGTCACAGGGTTACACCTTCAGTCTTGGTTCCGGCTCTGTTTCGTGGCGGGCTACCCGCTCGACTTCTGTTCTCGGCTCCAGTTGTGAGGCTGAGATCTACGCCGGGGCTATGGCTGCCCAGGAGCTTCGCTGGCTCACCTACCTGCTGACCGACCTTGGAGAGCCGCCTCGTTCTCCTCCAGTCCTGTACGTAGACAACAATGCCATGCTGGCCTTGTGTCGAGAGCAGCGACTGGAGCACAAGACAAAGCACATTGCTCTCCGCTACTTTTCTTTGCTCGTGACAGCGTGGACAGTTGCGACTTGGGTACGTGGCCTCTGAGGCCAACACTGCCGATGTTTTCACCAAGGCACTTGCGCCTTGTGATCATCAGCGCTGCTGCACGCAGCTGGGCCTTGTGCCTGTCTTGCCTCACTTGCTCACTTCTTGACCTTGCTTGTACCTTCACGTATATATACTCTTGCTCTTACTTGCTTGACTCTTGTATATCTCTATCTGTGATCTTGCATGTGAACTGGCCTTCTGGCCTTTGAACTTGTTCTTGGAATGTGTGGTGACTTTGTGATCCACCCTTAGTTTTGCTTTGCTTTGCTTGACTGGTCTTGTGACCCCTTGTTCTCCCCCACTTTGCATCTGGGGGTGTGTCAGAACATTATAGCTTACTTATTTGTGTAGGCTATAGTGGGGTATCCCATAGGGGGTACAACCCAATTAGGGTTTCCTATTTGTACTCACTTCGTTCATAGTCATTTCATTCTCGTTCTAACTTTCTCATGCCTATGGGGGTATGTCAAACATTATATATGTTATAGTTCTTTAGGATCTAGTGGGTTTAGCCTTAGGGGGTAAACAACTCTAGGTTTTCCTACTTGTACTCTCATTCTTTCTAGTCGAACCACTCTTCCCATTCTAAGAGCCGCTGCCACCCTCATATCTCATTGACAACAGCTTGTTCCCCATTCAATTTCTGTCCCCTATCTGCCCGCTCCGTGAGCAGTTCACCGAGCCTGGTAGCGATGATCCAGCTCGTACCTTGGTTATTTTATTCTTATTACGACATAAACAGCCGTGAAAATTTAAACGAAATTCACCTTAGTATTATGCTGAAGAGTTCCAATTTTGGTTTTCTTCACTTTGGGCTCACTTGCTGCGCTTACAGTCAGCATGTGCTGTCATATTGCCTCTGTGTGATGGCAGGGAATCCCTGCCAAGCTGCGCAAAATTCCAATTTGCGACTCCAAATAATTCCGGCTCAATCAAAATCGTCAAAACGAGATGTAGAGTTCGGCATAAATTTTTGAAAGCACATATAAGCCGTTTAATTTTCCCATGCACTTTTAAAAATTACTTGTTATAAAACTCACCGCCTAAGCATGCGTGATTTGTTATAAGCGCAATTGCGCTTATATCCGGGGAGATTGGGTAATTTTGATCAATCACTTTTGATTGACCGTAGTGGAGCTGTTGTCACTGAGGAAATACATAATTGCACTTTATACGACAATCTGCGAGGCGCCAATAGGAGTGATCATCGAAATTATTGATTCATAATTGTGCCCGAGCTTGTGGAATAGCTTGCAAATGCTAGACTTCTCGTCACAATTGACTTGCCGATGTGCGAGCGGAGAGAAGCGTAGCCATTCCCCCTAGAGACCGTCCCGTCGAGCGAGGCCGTCAGCGGGTGGCTAGTGCGCGGTGCGTGGGCTTGCGGAGGACTCGCAACAGTTACAGCAGATGGCGTCCTTTAAGACCACTGCTCGGTTTCACCAGTTATTCTTGGGACGCACTTCACGCCTCCTACTCTCAGCTACTGTCGCACGCGGCATTGCGCTTGTTTCGAGATCTTCCGCCAGGAGTCCTGAGTTACCATCGCACCTAACGCGCCGTGGTCCCTCGCCACGTCATCATGGCGTTGCTCGCCTGCGTGCTGCTACTCGTCGCGCTACTCCCCCCCGCCGCGACCACCGGCACCGCCACGGCGCTGGATGGCGATTATTGCACTGCTATCAGCAGTGTGGTGACCAAGCCACTGTCGCGCGTCTCGCCAGACGCCGCATTCGTCGCAGACCTTCGTCGTCCGTCCGTCGCCGGTCGCCGTCGCCTGAGCGGCGGAGTGGCGCGGCCACCCGCGGCGAGCCCGCGGCCCCGCGATGTGAAGCTCGCACCACCGCAACGTGAGTCGCCTCGTGCCGACGATATAAACCATGTGCAAAACAATGCTCAGCTAAGTATGAGAATTTATTCTATAAGTATAAGGGCCTTAGACTCCCTCGAAGGGCACGGTTGCGTCACATTCGGGTCACATCTATGATGGGAAAGACCGTCACATCTGCCCCTTCACAAGCCTGAGGATTTTTCGGAATACTATTTGAGATGAGTTCCCAGACTCGTCATGACCCATTATGGTCGTAAGTCCAAAAAATTCCTCTCCTCCCGCCCTTCCCCACTTTACCTCTCTCTGCCCTCGCTCCCTCCCCCTCCCCTCCCGTTCTTCCTCCCATTCCCTCCCCTCGCGCTCCCTCCCCTCGCGCTCCCTCCCCTCGCGCTCCCTCCCCTCTCCCTCCCTTTCTCCACCCGCCCGCGGCGGCGGCAGTGGCGGCGCTGGTGGCGCTGACGGGGTGGAATGCGACGGCCGAGCTGTGCTCCGAGTGGCCGGGCGTCACGTGCAACCGCCAAGGCATGGTCACCAAGATGTGAGACATGCGACGGGCTATATGCTGGGCTCTCGAATATGTTGGGCTTTCGAATATGCCACGGTGGATTAACGTATCTGAGTAAATCTAAGAGAGACTAATTCAATCCACTTGTGTGGTGCTGTGCGGTGGAGCAGAGATCTGCAGGAGTATCCCATCTCTGCGTTCACCGCTGCCCCACCGGGAACCCTGCCTGCTGACATCGGTGCCTTCAACGCCCTCAAAGTCCTGTCAGGCCCTCCTTCCCCTCCCCTCTCCTCGCCTGCTCCTCCCCCCTTCCTGCCTCTCCCTCCCTTCTTCCAATCTATTGCTCGCTGTATATTATTATCTTCTCAGAATCATTTCTTTTCCTTGTACCTTTTTTATTGTCATTCTTTCAACCATTTCTTCGCCTGTTTCTTTCTTGTGTTAAACGGAATCTTTGAGGATTCTCAAACCACCTCCCTGCACCACCACCTCCTCTCACTCACATCACATATCCTTGCTCGCCTACTCTTCCCCTCCTCATCCCTCCTCCCCCCCCACCCACTCAACCGTTTGAAGCGTGTGCAACACACATTCTAGGCGCCTCAAAAGTACAGTACACTCTATCTTTTTCCTTTTACTTCCGTATGGTGCACCTTCCTCCGACCATCCAGACCATCCAGACCATCCACCGCCTTGATACTCCTCCTTCCTCATCCGTCTCCTCTCTCCCACCCGTGCACGTCCCTTCCCTCGACCCACTCCTCCACACCACAACGCACTTCTTTCTCATCAGGAGGCTTCCCAAGCAGAACATCTCTGGTCCCATCCCCACAGAGTCTTTTACAAACCTCACCTCCCTTCGCGAACTGTGAGCCCTCTCGTGTCATGAATGCTCCTCTCCCCTGCTCGCTTCTCATGCTCGCTTCTCCTGCTCGCTTCTCCTGCTCGCTTCTCCTGCTCGCCATGACCGATCAATCCGCATGACCCCGTGCTTTCACGCCAAACCTTCCTCACGTCTGCATGAAGCGAGGTGACTCTTGAGTCGACTCAAAAGTCACCTCCAAACAAACCTTACTCGTACGTGTGCATGAAGCGCGCGCTGTGCGTGTAAGCCTCACAATATCCCCTCTCATCCGCTCACCCCACCGCCCGGCAGCGATCTCTCCTCCAACCCTCTGGACGGCAGCCTGGAGTTTCTTGCCTACCTTCCCTCCTTGCAATACCTGTACGCCCCCGTTCCTCTCGTGTGTGCACGGTTGCTCATCCCAGACATGCTCACACCCCACCTTGTTAATCCCACATGTCATTCCATACTCATCCCACACGTCATTCCATACTCAGCCCACATGCCATTCCATACTCATCCCACATGTCATTCCATACTTACCCCACATGTCATTCCATACTCATCCCACCTGATTCCGAAGTTGAGGCTCAATCTCTTACATCCCAAACACACTCACCCCCAAGCAAGCACCCATTTTTTCTATTGAGCCCCCATCTGTCCTCCCCACACATGGCAGCGATCTGCACGCCACTCAGTCGACTGGGGAGATCCCAGCAGCCCTCGGCAACGCCACCGCCCTCTCATACCTGTGAGTCACGGCCAGCCCTCACTGCTCTGCCCAGTGCCCACCCACTCACTCACCTGGTGCGAGGAGAGACGGTGTGTGGATGGAATGGAATAATGAGAGGAGATGTTTGTGTCACTCGCACCCTTAGAGCTCTCACAACAGTAGATGTGCATTCCAATTGAGATCCCCACATGGGGATGAATGACCGGGTACACGGATTGATGGGAAGTTGCGTGCGTGCGTGCGTGCGTGCACTGGTGCTTCCAGTCCCGCCTACACTCTCATATCCACGCGATGCACTAAAATGCCCGTCCCACTAGTATGTGCTCTTTGGAATCGCCCTTGACTCCACTTTGCTACTCAGCGCTCTCTTTCACCATAATTGTTCTCCTCTCTTCCCCTCCTCTCCTCTCGTCTCCTCTCCTCCTCTCCTCTCGTCTCCTCTCCTCCTCTCCTCTCCTCTCCTCTCCTCTCCTCTCCTCTCCTCTCCTCCCCTCCTCTCGTCTCCTCTCCACAAATTCTCTTCGCTCCTCTCCTCTCCTCCCCTCCTCTCGACTCCTCTCCTTCCCTCCTCTTGTCTCCCCTCCTCTCCTCCCTTCGTCTCCTCTCCTCTCGTCCTCTCCTCTCCTCTCCTCCCCTCCTCGTTTCTCCTCTCCCGCAGTATGTGCTTGTGTTCCCCATGTCGCTCTTCTTCTCTTCCTTCCTCCCATCTTCATACCAAATCCTTTGCGAACCTTGTGAAATGTGAGCCCTGTCGTGCCATGAATGCTCGTTTCTCCTGCTAGCTTCTCCTGCTTGATTCTCCTGCTCGTCCCCCCTGCTCGTCTCCCCTGCTCGTCCCCCCTGCTCGTCCCCCCTGCTCGTCCCCCCTGCTCGTCTCCCCTGCTCGTCCCCCCTGCTCGTTTCCCCTGCTCCTTCCTCCTGCTCGCTTCTCCTGCTCGTTCCCTCTGCTCGCCTATCCTGCAACATGACCGATCAATCCGCAAGCCCCACTGCTTTTCGCCCACACTGTGCGATTAAGCCTAGACCGACTTCTAAGTATCACAGCTCACTGGAACTATGTCCGAGGATCTGATTACTCGTGCGTGCGCACGAAGCCGAGTTTCGAAGTATCACAGCTCACTGGAACTTCGAAGTATCACAGCTCACTGGAACTTCAAAGTATCACAGCTCACTGGAACTTCGAAGTATCACAGCTCACCTCGCCTCACCTCGCCTCGCCTCGCCTCGCCTCGCCTCGCCTCGCCTCGCCTGGCCCTCATATCGCCTCAATCTTCTCATCCCACTGCCTCAATCTTCTCATCCCACTGCCTCAATCTTCTCATCCCACTGCCTCAATCTTCTCATCCCACTGCCTCAATCTTCTCATCCCACTGCCCGTTCATCCTCTCACCCTCTCCCCCCTGCAGCGATCTCTCTTCCAACGCTTTGAACGGCAGCCTGGAGTTTCTTGCCTTCCTGCCGTCCTTGCAATACCTGTACGCCCCCTTTCCTTTCGTGTGTGCACGGTTGCTCATCCCAGACATGCTCACATCACCCCCCACCTTGTTAATCCCACATGTCATTCCATACTCATCCCACCTATTCCCAAGTTGCCGCTCAACCGCCTACGTCCCACACCACACACACTCACCCCCAAGCAAGCACCCAATTTGAACCCCCCGTGTGGCCTCCCCTCTCCACACACGGCAGCGATCTGCACGCCACTGAGCTGACAGGGGAGATCCCCGCTGCCCTCGGGAATGCCACCGCCCTCTCATATCTGTGAGTCACGGCCTTCCCTCACTGCTCTGCCCACGCACTCTCTTACTGGAGCTTCCACCATAATGCGTTTTCAATGCTTGTGTGCCCCATGTCGCTGTTCGTCAGCCATGTGGACTGGGTGAGCTGCAGTCGGGAAAGTCACTTTACTGTCTTTCGTTTTCAGTGCTTGCGTGCCCCATGTCGCTGTTCGTCTGTGGGAGGGACAAATCTTGCAGTGTATGTTTATTGAGAAATCTAAAAAAACATGCATTCCACCATAATGTGTACTCAGTGCTTGTGTGCCCCCACCGCATGTCGCTGTTCGTCTCTTCCTACCTCCCATGCGTCATACCAAATCCTTTTGGAACTCTTGTTTCCTCCTCCCTTCCCTCCCCACCCGTCCCCCACAACCAGGTCCCTTGGAGGTCTCAACCTCACAGCCGGGCAGCTCCCTGCCTCTCTCTCCGCCCTCACCAATCTCACTTACCTGTAAGCAAGCAGGCCGTGGTGCACGTGCATCAAGAGTGCTCCTATGAATGCTCCTATTCTCACACTCATCCGGGGGTGGGGGGGGGGGGACTTCTTTTTGGTAAGAGTAGGCAGTGGTGACATTATATGCCTGAGATGAGTACGTAGGTAGGCAGGTAGGCACCAGAGGAAACAGCCAGTGGTGCATCCAGGGGAGTGACTTGACTCATACAAGCTGTTTCTTTTTCAAGCTTGTCACTGGCTCAAGTTGCTAGATTTGCGTGTGCGTGCAAGCAATGCCACCTGAGCCCTTCTCACCGGGTGTTACCATTACCGTGCCCTTTCCTGCCATCCCCTCCCTGTGGAGCAGGGACCTGAGCTACCTCAAGTTCGCCAGCGTGCCATCGTGGATCGCACAACTCCCCAAGCTGCAGTTCCTGTAATTGCTTACCACTCCACCAACCAACCCTGCTGTCCCCATCCATCCATCCTCTCTAGGCTTTTGACCAACTGTACTCCTATGTTGCTCTTATTTTACTCTAGCAATCTCACGTTTCTCTCACGTAGCTGTTCGCCTTAGTAATATTGCACTGCACTGCACAACCACTATGCCTTTTCTTCACTTCACCACCATGCCCTCCCCTCACCACCCATCATGATCTCTCAACGCCACCCACCTTACGCCCCCACCTCTCTGCAGGGATGTGACAGCACCCATTGACCTCACCCCCGCCCGCTCCTCGCCCTTTCCAACCGGCTTTACGAATCTCACCAGCCTGAACTCCCTGTGAGCTGCTGCCTGCACACTCTGTGAGCTGCTGCCTGCTGCGTGTGTCCCAACTGGCCGTGTAGACGCCCAAAGAAAGCCAGCAGCGGCTGCAGCGGCAGGGGCAGGCAGGCATAGCAGCACAGCATGCCCCGTAGTGGCCTGATTGCGTAGGCTGGGCTGGAAATACACAAATACACTCAAGTGATCTCTTTCAGAAACCGTTTGCCTCTTGCGTTTTTGTCTCGTAGCATTCTGCATTTCAGCGCCCACTCATTCACCAACCGTGCTGCTCTGCTCTGCTCTCTACTGCATTCACACTCTCTTCCTGCGCTCATCTCATCTCAGGATGGCAGCGGGCAACGGCCTCTCAGGCTCCCTCCCCGCTACCATCTCCGCCCTCACCGCCCTCTCAGAGCTGTACGCCTCCCCTCAGTCCTCCGGTTGCGTTTTGAGTATGAACCTTTTGCTGTGACTTTGTATCACCAAGGCGCAGCGCATCTAAGGGTAGCATCTTGTTCCACAGGTTCCGTAGAGTGGGGGGGATGCTAGTTGCATCCCCTGGCATGGCAGCGGATGGAATCTGCTCCTGCCTTTTCTTGGCTCCTGCCTTTTCTTGGCTCCTGCCTTTCCTTGGGTTCTTTCAAATATTGACTCGTGCCCTGCCCTCACTATCTCACAGCTTGCCACAGCAGCACCCCAATGTGCCTCGTAGGATTGCTACAACAGTGCCTTCTTTACCCTGAAACCTCCAAAATGGAAATTCTGTCCGTATGTCTGTCCGCCCGCCTGCACCCCCCCCTGCAGAGATCTCGCCTATAACAGACTCGCCGGCTCCATCCCTGCCCTCCCCTCCACTCTGCTTCGCCTGTGAGCCAAGGGCGGGGGAAGGCTGGGAGAGAGTGAAACACAAGGGGAGAGGGGAGGAGGGGTGGGAGAGAATGGATGAGAAGGGGAGTGGTTGGGAAAAAGGGCTGAGAGAATTTGGAAGAGAGGAAGGGGGAGGAAGAGGGGTATGTTGATAGAGACTGGGTATTGCGGTGAAGGGGGATCCGTTATGGCTCCCTGCGTGTGCTCCTTTGAACCCCAAGCTCTCTGCTCTGCTCACTTGCAGTCATTCCTATTTCCACTCACTCAACAGCACTTGCCTTTCCGACTCGCACACACACGGACGAGCCTCCAGCTCACAGGCCTGCGCCCGTCCGATTGCGGTGCCCCCATTGCCCCCATGCGGTCTCCCATGCATTGTCCCCATTGTCCCCCCCTGCTTTCATGTGCTGCCCCCATTGCCCCCCTGCGTTGCCCCCCATTTCCCCATTGCTTGCTTCGGTCAGCTCGCTGAGCCACAACGCCCTGGAGGGCCCCATCCCCTCTTTTGCTGCACCGGGACTCATAGACTTGTGAGATGACATGCATGGGCGTCACGGGCATGTTGCACAATCACTTCTTCCCTTCGCTCAAGTAAAAATCCACTCTTTTCTCACCCTCCCTCCCTCCAGCTCATATCTTGGCCGTTTCTTCCTTCCCCTGCCCCAATCTCCCAATCTCCCAATCCCCCACGCCATCCCTCCTGGCAGGGATCTGAGCCACAACCGGCTGACAGGGCCCATCCCAGCAACCTTCACAGCCCTCACTTCCCTCACCAGCATGTGAGTCCAGATCAGCGCGCATCTCCCCTCTCCCAATTCCCATCTCCATCTCCCAAACCCCATTCCTGTCTCGCATACAAGTGTGTTCTGGGTTGACTCATGACACACGTTCCCACTTGTCTGTCTGCCCCAAGCGGCCCTGCCCCAAGCAGCCCTGCCCCAAGCGGCTTTCAGACCAGCTGGCTAATGGAATGAGTTGGTCTCCATGCGTGCCCTGTTCACGTGCCCATGCCATTTCCATCCCATACTCATGCCATGCCCCCGTGGGTCCCACAGGGATATCAGCCACAACGCTTTCTCGGGCGGCGTGGATGTGTTGTCACGCATGCCAAGCATCTCCAACCTGTGAGCACCATGCCATCTGACAGCCCGCCCTCCTTACCGTGTCATGTCGTTTTGAAGCTTACTCCTCTACCACTGGGACACAATGCCGTGTACAGCTGGGACTCGTGTCTCGGCGTTTTCGTTTGTGCTTGGGGTTCACATTTGGGGATGGGGAAACAAAGAGGTTCGAGCGAATGTCCTCCGCACACACCCCTTTCTTCCACTCTCTCCGCCCACTCTTAAGTCAGCAATAGCCTCCGGCCAGTTCTTATGGTGGTCTTACTATGATTCAGATCGGAACTAAAATCTAATATCCAAAATGAATGCAGACACAATGCTTAGTTAAAGTTTTCACCACGTTTTCTCCGAGCGTGTCTCGTTTCACCCGAAGTCGCACACGCAACCTGCCCAGCATTGCCAAACACCTCTTTAGTGTGAATTGAAATGGGTACCGTGCCCATCACTCCCCATGCCCATCACTTGCTGGTCCCACCTCCAAATCACCCCCGAGTCACTCTCGTTCCCGATACCTCAACTCCTTGCTTCCTCGCTTCGCCTCCTTCCTGTCAACTTCCACTTCTGCCTTGCTCGATTCCCTGCCCTACAGGAACATCGGATCGTGCAACTTCTCTGGCCCCTTCCTCTCAAACCTCACTTATGTCAACCTGTATGCAACGCCTCCTCCCCACACACGCCACCCAAGCTGCTCCCGCGCTCTCCTTGCTCTCCTCACTCTCCTCGCTCTCCTCTCTCTGCTCCCTGTGCAAACCACACACTCGCTGTCCACCTTCCTACCTCCTCTCCTCTCACCCTCTCCATACAACCTGTCCCACTTGCCCTCCCTCCCCTCCCTGTCCGCCCTACATGACGCTCTTCCTCTGGCCTGCCTGCCCTCCCCACTCCCCGCCCTTGACCCTGCCCGCCCTCCTCTCTGCAGCGACATATCCAACAACAGCTTCACGGGGCCCTTCCCCTCCGCCATGCTAGCCGTGCCACTCTATAACACCCTGTATGCATGCATGCACGTTCCCACCTGCACTCCCAACTCACCCTGGGAACTTGAGATACACGTGGGATACACTTGGGATACACTTGGGATACACTTGGGATACACTTGGGATACCCTTACCACTTGATAACATGGCTCTGTCTGATCTTGATATGCCCCAACAAGAATCATCCTCGCATGTTCTTTTTTTTTTTTTTTTTTTTTACAAGACACTGGCCTATATGTTCCGCTCACCCTGCCTGTACCTTATGGCCCACGTTTCCCTGTCTGTGTTGCCGCCTTGCAGCAATCTATCGACTAACAACTTCTCTGGCCCGCTGCCATCAGAGCTCGCATCGCTCACATTCATCAAAAGGCTGTGAGTCTCTCTGTTCTCATCAGAAGGTGTATATCGGCTTTACACATACGATGCATGTTGAGTCGAATCAAAATTCTCGACCGTGTTGACAATGCATCGTCACAATGCTGCTCACAGCACCCAGTAGCATGCGAGTTGACTTTCAGTCAACTCAAGCGTCAGCATGCGAGTTGACTTTCAGTCAACTCAAGCGTCAGCATGCGAGTTGACTTTCAGTCAACTCAAGCGTCAGCATGCGAGTTGACTTTCAGTCAACTCAAGCGTCAGCATGCGAGTTGACTTTCAGTCAGCTCAAGCGTCAGCATGCGAGTCTCTCCTTTCTCATCGATGCCTGTCCATCCACACCACCACCGTGGCCACTTCTTTTCACCGGCTTGTGTGATCCAAAACTTTGAAGAGAACATTGCCGCAATGTCCATGCTAAATCTCCTGATATGTCCTTATCTCTTCCCCCCCCCCTTCCCTCCTGCCCCTCCCAATCCATCCCCACCCCATCAGTGACATCTCTCACAACCAGTTCACTGGAGTTGTGCCCCCTGCCGTCTTCACCTTGCCTTCGCTAACGGCCCTGTAAGCCCATCCCTTCCACCCTCGCCTCCCTCCCTTTCCTCCCTCCCTTGCCTCCTTCCCCTCCATTCAGTCTTGCCGTCATTCCTTGCCTTCATACCCCTCCCTTCCACACACCCCTATTCCCCTCACCAGCGACATCAGCAGCAACCAGCTCACCGGCTCCCTGCCGGCCTCCATTGCCCTCTCCACCTCTCTCAACCTCCTGTAAGCCATTCCCACCCACGCCCACCCACGCCGGCCCACCCATCCCCACCCATGGTTAGCCCTTCCCAGCACTGCCTAGGCATGAAACAGGAGGCGGAGTGTGCCTGGGCAGGGGGGTTGGCATGGGAAGGACCATTCCCACACGTGTTATCTATCACAGCACCCATGCACCCATGCACCCATGAACCCATACACCCATGCAAAAACCACAACCACATGTTGCATGGTACTGTTTCTTCAAGCCATGCCAGCACATGCATGCATGTGCACCACTCTTCCCACGTCTTCCACGATTGTCTGTCTCTCTGCACATTAGTGTTGCGAAGCAAAGCGCCCACACTGTCTCCTCTCACCTGCCTCCTCTCCCATTCCTGCCCGTGCCTCATGCATCCGCTTGTCGTCCACACCTCATCTCCACACTCCGTCATTGTCCTCGCCCATTCCTTACCTCCTCCCCCTCTCTATCCCCACTCCCCCCTCACCACCAGCAACACCAGTGCCTCGGGGCTTGTGTGTCCAGCAGATGGCAGCGAGTGTGTGGCGAAGCAGAGCAACGCCTCCTCCTTCTGCCGCGTCTGCTCCTCCTTCTGCTCCTCCTGCACGCCCCTTGCGCGTGAGTGGCACCCATGCTCCCCGTGCAGGTGCTTTCTTACATCCACCCACGGATGCATACTGCACACATGCACACCAGCACAGCTACAGACGGCTGTCGGGCTGGGCTTTTGAGGCGCCTCAAAAATGCTTTTTTGCGTGCACCCTCAAATGCGTCCTGTACGTCTGTGGATGCACACCAGCACAGCTACAAACGGTTGTCAGACTCGGAATTCCATGGTTGATCCAGTTCACAACATGTGTTGTGCACGCATGCAGCAGTATGATGCGTGCATTTGCAGGTGCGTGCATGTGCATGCATGCAGCACTTGTGTGCTGTTATTTCAAGTATGTGTCTGTCACTCCATGCATTGTTGCCCCACACCCCAGTGTCAGCACTTACGGCAACATCGCCGGCACCTCCAGTGCCGCAGGCACCATCTTCCCCCACCCAGGCTCCTCCTCCTGCTGTCTCTCCTTCCAAGCCTGCATCAAGCCTTTCCACGCCCACAGCTGCTGCTTTTAGCCTCTTTGCTCCTGCTGCTGCGGCGGCGGCTCTCTCAATCCTTGCGTTCACTGTCTAAGAAGCAGCTTCTGCACATTTTTGCGCCAAGCTTTACGTGTCAGATGTGTGTGGCCTTCTGTTAGAGTCGTTTGCCCTGCCCCGTAAACAAATTTACGCTTTCTCAGCAACAACAGAACAGCCTACTTGTAAATGCAGATAACTAACTTACGAGCAGTCGCAAAAAAAATGAGCGTGTTATATTAGTTCCCCAAGTGGATTGTCATGTTTATTTAGTAATAAACTCTAGAGAATGTCTAGATTGCTCGGTATCTCTAGCAGATGTAATCCTCGAAAACACTTTCCTGCATTCTCTGGTTCTCATGACTCTGCTCTTACGGAGGATTTCGACACACCACATCACTCCAGCCCACATCACTCTGCGCTAAGCCTTGCCGCAAGTCACGCTCCCACAGCAAGGCCTTCGCGGGCCAGAGCAAATCTCCTCCCATTCCCCGTCAGAGGCGTCTACCGTCACCCTTGTCGAGTCTTCCGTCACAACCCTTTGACCAATCCCAATTGCGTTTTTTGAGTTATAATCGATTCACTGTTGAGAATTCTTCAAAGCCGCTCAGATGGAAGCTCACTCGCTCGCCATCGCGCGCCCGTCACAGTCCAGCCTCCCACCAGCCGCCATTGCCGCCAGAAGCAACCTCGTAAGCCCCGCTTTCGCCGCTCCCTCGTGTTCGCCTCCGCGCCTGCGGGATCCGCGACGGGTCATATCGGGAGGTTTTCCTTCGTTGTCGTTACCCTATTCGCTAACGTTCGCCAGGGGGCCGCGCGCCATACCGGCCGGCGATCGCGTCGGTGGCGGAAACCCTAGAGGAAGCAGCCGCGTGGGGAATGGTTTCAAGAGACGCTGTGTGTGCAACAGCAGTGGCGCAGTAAGCGAGGGGGAGCAGCAACGCGCGGGTAATAGCTTTCCGCTTTTGCGGAGAGGTTCGGGGCGCGCGGAGGCGGCGGGGGGAGCGGGCGGAAGGCGCGCTGTGCTTGCGCGGTCGTACCGGTGGAGCGACGACGACGTGGTGGCCTTTGGCGGAGGCGTGGAGGGAAAGTTCGAGGAAGCTGTGGCGCTGTTCAACGAAGGGCAATTCTACAAGTGCGCGTGGGATGAGAGGGGGCCGAAAGAGGGGGAAAGAGGAAGAGAAACGGGGAAGGTGGGGTGGAGGGATTGGGAGGCAGTAATGAGTCTAGGGTGTCGGATGATGAATGATGGGTGTGGGACTGAAGGGGGCGTGCAGCGGAGTGCGGCCAAACAACATCCTGAATTTTTATTTATTTATTTTTTTCAAGTTTATTTTTTCCTTCTCGGCGTCAACTGACGAACATGAATTGTGAAGGCCCAATATTGCTGATTCCATTGACGAGCACTTTCATGTGTCATCCATATCGAGATCTGTTGGGCCTCCTTGCCTCCTTCTTGGGCTGGATGGAGGCGGGATGGTGCATGAGTAACACTCTTTTTCATGCTGCGTGTGAGTGGGACATGATGTGGGATATGGTGCATGATGCATGGTGCATGGTGCTTGATGCATGGTGCATGGTGCATGATGCATGGTGTATGATGCATGGTGCATGATGCATGGTGCATGGTGCATGATGCATGATGCCTGGGGCATGATGCATGGTGCATGATGCATGGTGCACTGCGTGGCATGGCGCATTGCAGGTGCCATGACCTGTTGGAGGAGATGTGGCATCAGTCAGCGGAGCCGCAGCGAGGCATGCTGCACGGGCTGCTGCAGTGCGCTGTGGGCATGGTGCATCTGCTCAACCAGGTGGGCATGGTGCATCTGCTGCCCCATGACATGACATGACACCCATCCATGCATGTCTGCACTGGGCGGCATTCATTGGCAAGGCATGCCTTCTGACATTCACGGAGTCATCGCCGCTGCTTCATCTCCTTTGTCCCTCACAGTTGTGTCGGCCACGTGTTACCGCCCCCTTCCCCATGACAGCCTCCCTTCCTGTTCTATCTTCCCGTTCTAACGGCCTTCCAAAGCCCTCCAACGTCCTCCACCCACTCGCAGAACCACAGCGGCGCCATGATGGAGTTTGGCGAGGGGGTGAACAAGCTGCGGCGCGCCATCGCCACCACGGGGGGCAGGGGCCCCTCGGGCAGCTTTGCAGCGTTTGAGGCGGAGGCGGGCGCTGTGCTGGAGTTCATCTACAACACTCAGCTCGAACACGCCGCCTGTGAGTGCCTGCCTTGCTGCTTCTGAGGCTCGACAAAGGGAAGGAAGGGGCAGGCGCCATGCTGGAGTTAAAGCAACGGCTTGTGTTTGCCTGCCCTGGGGGCTTCTCCTTCTAGGGGTAGGCTTGGCACGCCATATCCCTTGCTGCCTGATACTCCTTGGCGCTTTTGAGGCTTGCAGAGGGAGGGATGAATGGCAGGCTCTGTGCTAGAGTTCGTATGCAACACTCGGCTCGAATCTGCTCTGCTGCCTGTGAGTGCTCGGGGCCTTTTGAAGCTTGCCACGTCCCTCCCTCCTCCATCATCCTGTGACTAATTCTTGGCGCCTTTGAGGCTTGAGGAGGTCATCTCCCTCCCTCCCACCACCCCCACCCCTTTCTCTCACGCACACCCCCGCCCCTCCCTTGGCAGGTTCCAAGGTGGAGTGCATGGCAATGGAAGGGTCAGCAGAGAGAGAGCTACTCTCTGCTGGGCGACTACGGGGCACACCGACCCCACCACACAGCAGCGCTCTACACGGATCCCACGCACGTCCCTACCCCCTCCCCCCTCCTTCCCCTCTCCCTGTTTGACAGGTTCCGAGGTGGAGTGCGTGACAATGGACGGGTCGGCAGAGAGCTACTCTCTGCTGGGCGACTACGGGGCAGGGCAGCAGCTCTACCGCGTGCACTTTGATCCAGCCACGGGGCAGCGCTGCCTCGAGTTCTGCTCGCTGCTGCCCTTCCACCAGGCTGTAGTGGGGGACGGCGCAGGGAGTGGGAGTGAGAGTGAGGGGGAGGGGAGAGGTGGCGCGAGAGCGGGGGTGACGAGGGCGTCTGTGCCGCTGCCGCGGCTGACTGCCACAGAGGAAGAGCTCAAGAGCCTCGCGTGGTGAGGGGGTGGATGGAAAGGCAATTGGCACTGGCAGCCGGGTCATTCCAGGCCCGGCCAGGCGAGGTTAGGGTAGTTAGGAGGAGGGCCCTGGCGTTGGATATGTTTTTTGTTTGGTCCACACCACAGGTAGATGGGAGAGGGTGTGTTTGGAGGGTAGGGGGTCGCGTGCTGCTCATGCGATCCAGCCTCTACTGCGCATCATGAATGCATGTTGTGTCATTTTTTGGTGGCCAAATTTGTAGTGCCAGAAAAATATTGGTATCGTGCGGTAGAGAATGATTCTTTACCAGGGTACTATCTAGTGGTCTGATATTGTGTATAACAGCTTTGCTTTTTTCCTTCCTTCCGTGAGTCAGCACTTGAATATCAGCTGCCCACATGCAGCAACCTTACAGCACTGCATTGTACAGAAACTGGAAGGTTGCTTGAAAACCACTAGGGCCAAGCACAACAATGGTTACTGAATGGAGTGGAGGGACCTCTAGCCCCATATGATAGAGTAAACTTCCTTGGTTTCTACACCATCAACAGCACCAAACAGCATGGAACAATTGAACCACACTACGCTGATTCGAGCAGGCTCATTCCGCCCGCATCATATCGAGGCGAGCGAGCCGAATGGAATAATGTCCCGACCAGCCTCGGACTACCTCACGTCCTGCTGATACATGACTGGAGTACTACCATAAAAATACTGTAGCCTATGTAAACTGTTCGTTACGCCTGGCGAGTGGAGGGCGGTTTGGAGAGGATGGAAAGAACGGTCTTAATTGCTGGTATGCTGTCACATGCTTGGGCCTGTAGGGCGTGGAGGGAAGATGGGAATGGAGGGATGGAAGAGGGGAGGGTTGGCAGAGGGCTGGGAGTGAGATCACATGGATGGAAGGGGAGTGACGAGGGTCATGGTGCTGGGAGTAGGCTTCCAGAAACACTTTTTGCAATGCACAGCACACATGCACACACGCACACATGGATACATGCACATATGGATACATGCACACATGGATACATGCACACATGCACACATACACACGCGCACACATGCACACATGCACACACGCACACAAGCACACATGCACACACACACACGCGCACACATGCACACATGCACACATGCACACACGCACACATGCACACATGCACACACGCACACACACACGCACGCACACGCGCACACATGCACGCACGCACACGCGCACACATGCACACATACACACACGCACACGCGCACATGCACACATGCACACATGCACACGCACATACACGCACACATGCACACGTGTTGTAACTGTATCTTATATACAACATACATAGGCTAGAATGGTGTAGCTCTTTATGTTCTTGGGGGGTTGGGTGTACACTCCAACCACATTTTGTGGTTGGTCAAGGTTGGGTTTGGTCTTGGTCCTTGGTTGGCACTTGCCAACTTTTGGTCCTAAGGCCTACCAATCACAACCTAGCAACATTGTGGGGTTACCTACTCCACAAGGCATCTCCCCCATTGGCCAACTTAGTGGCCAATAGGGTTTGCTCCTTCTTCACCCCTCTCTTGCTTGCATGCTTGTACTATAGAGCCTCAATGGCTCATCATTCAACTACTCTTGAATTCTATCATGGTATTCAGAGCCAAATGGCTCACGCCACCTTCCCTCGATCCTCATGTTGTAATTCCCTCCCCGCTCCCTTACCCTAGCGGACTATGACCTACATCCGCCCACCCGCTCCTCAGATCTAGCCTCCCGCGGCTCAGTTCCGCCTCCCGCACCTCAGATCTAGCGTTCCGCGGCGTAGATCTCCTCCTCCGCGGCCTCAATCCTCCCTCCCGCGGCCTCTATCCTCCCTCCCGCAGCCCCTATCCGCTCCCCCGTGGCAGCAATCCTTCCTCCCGCCGCCACGCCTCCATCTGCCCGCCGACGCGTCCGACCTCCGCGCCGACGCGGACGACCAGCGCGGCGACGCGGACGACCTGCGACCGCCGCGGACGGCCAGCGCGCGACCCCCGACGACCAGCGCGCTGCCGCGGACGGCCAGCGCGGCCTCGCCGACGGCCCGCGCGCTGACGCGGACGGCCAGCGCGGCCCCGCCGACGACCCGCGCGCTGACGCGGACGGCCAGCGCGGCCCCGCCGACGACCCGCGCGCTGACGCGGACGGCCAGCGCGGCCCCGCCGACGACCCGCGCACTGACGCGGACGGCCAGCGCGGCCCCGCCGACGACCCGCGCGCTGACGCGGACTGCCAGCGCGGCCCCGCCGACGAGCCGCGTGCTGACGCGGACAGCCAGCGCGCGGCCACGAAAGAACCGCGCGCCACCGCGGACGGCCAGCGCGCGGCTGTCGACGCCCCTGCGCCGACGTGGACGGCTGGCGCGCAGCCGCGGCTGATCTGCCCGCCGTCGCGTTCGCCTGCCCGCGATCTCCACGACCTCGAAACCCTAATTCCTCCCCGCACTTCCGCACCAGCCTCTCTTCCCCTCTACCTCCTCCCCCTACTCCACCCCTAACGGCACCAGCAGCAGCAGCAGCGGCATCGGCGGCAGCAGCGGCATCGGCGGCAGCAGCAGCGGCGGCATCGGCGGCGGCAGCTGCAGCGGCATCGGCGGCGGCAGCTGCAGCGGCATCGGCGGCGGCAGCAGCAGCGGCATCGGCGGCGGCAGCAGCAGTGGCATCGGCGGCGGCAGCAGCAGCGGCATCGGCGGCGGCAGCAGCAGCGGCATCGGCGGCGGCAGCAGCAGCGGCATCGGCGGCGGCAGCAGCAGCGGCGGCACCAATACCAACAGCAGCAGCGGCGCCTTCACCCCTCCACCGTCATGGCGTCATCCGACTCCTCGGTCGATCTAGCGACCATTGACGCCCTCGAGCTGCTCGGCGACAACTCGGCCGCCAACTGGCACTCCTATGCTCACTCCGTCGAGGTGTTGCTCTCCTCGGTCATCGTCAGTGGTTATACACTCCGCTCCGTCGTGTTCCAGGAGGAAGGCGGACTCCAGCCCATCGCCCCTTCTGCCCCCACCGAACCTCCTCCTGATGAGCCCGGACCTGAGCCCGAGTCCCCTGGTGATCCTCCCTCCTTCGCACCGGATGTCAACAATCCTCAAAGCGTGGAAACTGCCATCCGTGCCTACCGCAACACACTCAACGACCACCTTCGCCGTCAACTGCGCTATGAGGACGACAAGCGCGCCTACGACGAGGCTGCTGCCCGTCACCGCGACTACCACGCCCAACTCACCACGTACACTACACGCCTCGCTAGCTACACCTCCGACATCGCTGCGTGGCGCATTGCTGACCGTCGAGCTCTCGCCATCCTCCTCGCCACTATCCCCTCCTCCCTCAAGCGAAAACTCTCACCCACCTCCTCCTCCCACCTGTGGCAACTGCTTGTCGACCTCTTTGACCGGCAGGTCATCGCCACCCTCTATGCCCTCATCAAGGACTTTGGATCCATCACCATGGATTCCACTGCCGGCGCAGCCGCCTTTACTCGCCGCGTCCTTGACCTTGCTCGCCGCCTTGCAGCACTTGGTGTTACCTACCCTGACACCGTCATCTGCTGCCACCTCCTCGAAGGCCTCACTCCTGCCTTCGATGCCCACAAGCTGGCCTACATGCAACTCCTCTCCAAACATGACACTCCCGCTCAAGTTGCCCAATGGATTATCACCACCGAGGCAGAAATCCTTCGCCACTCCTCCACTGCCGCGGTAGCACAGCAGCGCAGCGGCAAAGGCGGACGTGGAGGGGGGCGTGGAGGTGGGCGTGGAGGTGGTCGAGGCGGCTCTGGCGGTCGTGGTGGTGCGGGTCGTGGTGCAGCAGCGGCCTTCCCACCCTGTCAGTATCTTCCCCTTTATGGCCCCACCCGAGGCCAACGCTGCAACCAAACCACTCATGCAACTGAGACGTGCTTTAAGGCACTCAGCGATGAGTGGTTCGCTCGTGGGAACTCTGGCACCCCTCCTCGCTGGTCCGCCCTTAATCCCCGCCCCACTCCCCTCGACGTTCGCACCTCTCCCCTCTACGCTCCCTCCTCCTCCTCCCAGGCCCACCAGGCCTTTGCTCTCCCCTCTCAGCAGCAGCAGCAGCAGCATCAGCAGCAGCAGCAGCAGCAGAGTGTTCAGCAGCAGGGACCGCAGCAGTACGGGCAGCAGCTTCAGCAGCTCCAGCAGCAGCTTCAGCAGCTCCAGCAGCAGCTCGACCTCCAGCCCCAGCTTCCTCTCCTCCCTCCTCCTCCTGTCCCCCAGCAGCAACCGTTTCCCGGCTGGACCGCTGGGAATGCAGCCTCTGCGGCCCACCTCTCCGGTCCCTCCCCTGCGCCGTCCACAGGTGGTAGTGTGACCCCCTTTCCCTCCTCTGGCTTTGTTGGTCTGCTTAGTCAGCCTCCCTCTGTTGCATCCCCTATGTATGCCCCTGCTACTAATGAAACTTCCATTCAGTACTCCGCCTCACCCTCCTCCACCCTTGAGTTCGTCCTGGATAGTGGAGCCACTGACAATGTCTTTCGCGATGCGGGCAAACTCCATCCTCTCCCCACACCCACGTCCCTCCTCGGCGCTGACAGCAGCTTTTCCATCCCCTGTCACAACACGTCCACCCTTCCCTGTCCTCTCTTTCCCTCAGGTACCGTCACAGGTCTTCACATTCCCTCCCTTCGCACTAACCTCCTTTCCCAAAGGTCCCTCCAACAATCCATGATCACCACTGTCACCCCAGGAGGTGCTAACCATTGTGACCTTTTCCAAACCTCCACAGGTCGCTTCCTCGCCCGCATTCCCTACTGTCACCGCTCCCGTCTATACACCCTTCGGGTTCCTCGCCCCTTCACCTTCCAAGTTGCCTCCCCCCCCCCTCCTCCCCCCCCCCTCCTCCCCTCCCTCCCACTAACCCACCCGTCCCCCCCCCGCCCCCCTGACTCTGACTGCTCATGTCGCTCCCTCTCCCACCCTGCTATCCTCCTCCATCACAGGCTAGGTCACCCCAACTTCGCCACTCTGCGCTCCTCTGTATCCTCCGGTCTCCTCCACGGTCTCCCCTCCTCCCTCCCTCCCCTCCCAAAGTCCCCTGCCCCCCCTTGCGTCGTCTGTGTTCAGAGCAAGCTCAAGCAGCAGCCGCACCGGAGCTCCCCCTCCGCTGCAGCCCAGCCACTTGATCTTGTTCACATGGATCTCTAGGGCCCTAACCCCTCCCCCACTCGCCAAGGCCATCGCTACCTCCTCGTGCTCGTCGATGATCACAGTCGGTACTCGTCCGTCTCTCTCCTTCGGACGAAGGCGGACGCCCCGACTGCGATCATTGCCTGGCTCGAACAGGCAAACACCCACTTTGGGCGCCTTGTTCGCCGCCTCCACTCTGATGGTGGTGGTGAGTTCCTTAACAACCAGATCTCCTCCTATTGCCAGTCCCGCGGCATTCTTCAGACTTACACCCTCCCTCACTCCCCACAGCGGAACGGTGTTGCTGAGAGCCGTGTTCGGGAGATCACCAAAACGGGTCGGTGTCTCCTTGTCCACGCCTCCTGCCCCCCTTCTCTGTGGGGCTACGCCCTCCTTCATGCCGCCCTCCTTACTAACCTTTACCCTCACCCCCTCCTCCCCTCCACCACCCCCACTGAGCTATGGACAAAGGACAAACCCGATGTCTCCCCTCTTCGGGTCTGGGGCTCAAAGGCATATGTCCTCATTCACCCATCTGACCGATCCCGTTCCCTAGGAAAACTTGCCCCTCGTACCCTTCCCTGCATCTTCCTTGGTCATAACCCTTCTTCCCCCGACTATCTTTTCCTCCACCCCACCTCCGATCGACTAATTCGCAGCAGGGATGTCGTCTTTGACGAATCCACCCCATACTATTCCTCTCCTCCGTCCACTGACCCACTCCCACCTCTGACTCGTCCCCTTGTCTGGACTGACACCACCCCTCCCCCTCTCCTCCCTCCTCCCCCCATCCTCCCACCCCCTCCCCCACCGCCCCCCCAGTCCCACGGTGCCCCTCCCTCGTCTGGTGACATCTTTGACCCGGACCCCCTGTCTTCCCCTGTCTCCCCCGCTCACTCCTCCCCTGGTACCCCTCCTCCCCCTCCCTCCCAACCCTCGCCTCCCTCCCCCCCTCCCCGCACCACACTCACCCGGTATCCTCACACCAGGTCGTGCGACGGTATTCTTGGTGCACCGCCCCCTGTTACCCTCTCTACCTCTACCCTCCCCCCTCTTTCCCCCCTTCTTCACCACTTCTTCCAGGCTGTCCTGCATCAAGCCCCTCATGCACCCGCCCCCTCTACTACCTCTCCAGCAGCGGCAGCGGCAGCAGCTCCAGCAGCAGCCACCGCAGCGGCACCAGCAGCGGCAAGTGCAGCGGCACCAGCAACGGCAAGTGCACCGGCACCAGCAGCGGCGAGTGCAGCGGCAGTGGCGGCCTCGGCAGCGGCACCAGCAGCGGCGACACCAGCGGCGGCATCAGCAGCGGCATCAACAGTGGCACCAGCAGCAGCACCTGCGGTCCTCCGCGCCTTCCACACCTCCCTCTCTGAGGACTCCCATGAGGAGTTCCTTGACCTCCACCTCTCTGACCCCTCCCTCCTTCCCATCACCTCTGACCTCTCTGGAACACCAGTCCTCGCTTTTTCCTCCGCACCCTCCACCTTCATCCCAACCACGTATGAGGAGGCCATGGCTTGTCCCGACGCCCCGCTCTGGCTCGCCGCCATCATCAAGGAGCTCGAGGCGTTTATTGCCGACTCCTCCTTCGTTGATGTGCCTCGCCCTCCCCCCTCTACGAACGTGGTCAAGGGAAAGTGGGTGTTTCGCGTCAAGCAGCTGCCAGGAGAACCGCCCGTCTACAAGGCCCGGTATTGCGCCAAGGGCTTCACGCAGCGGTATGGCTTTGACTTCTTCGACACCTTCTCCCCCACCGCCAAACCTGCTACCGTTCGCGCCGTCCTCGACCTCGCCGCTCGCCTCAACATGGAGATCCACTCGATGGATGTCTCCAACGCCTTCCTGCAAGGCGTTGTACGTGAACTGATCTACATGGAGCGCCCCGTGGGCTTCCACCTCCCCTTCCCCGCTGACTCTGTCTGGCAGCTGCGCCGCCCGGTGTATGGGCTCCGCCAGGCTCCCAGGGAATGGCATGCCAAGCTTGCTGCCACCCTTGTCGAGCTTGGGTTTCGAACCTCCCGCTCCGACGCCAGCCTCTTCCTCCGCACCTCCCCCTCCCCCTTCTACATCCTCGTCTATGTTGACGATATGATTCTTCTCACTGCCGATCCTGCCGAGCTCGAGACTGTCAAGACGAAGCTGGGCAGCCGTCTCAAGTGCAAAGACCTGGGAGAGCTGCAGCACTACCTCGGCATGACCATCACTCGCGACCGCTCCGCCCGCACCATCTCTCTCTCTCAGGGCCACTACCTCCAGCAGGTCTTAGAACGGTTTGCAATGGCGCGCGGTGACCCCCAGCCCACTCCCCTTTCGGTCGGGCACCACCTCTCCCCACCCTCCTCTCCCTCTCCCTCCTCCCCTCCTTATCCTGAACTCATCGGCTCTCTCATGTACGCCATGGTCTCTACTCGCCCTGACCTTGCCTACCCCATCAGCGTCCTCGCTCGCTTCGTTGGCGCTGGCAAGCATACGGAGGAGCACTGGCAGGCCGCCAAGCGCGTTCTTCGCTACATTCGTGGCACCAAGGATTATGTCCTTACCCTTGGCGGCCCTTCCCCACCCCTCCTCAACGGCTACAGCGACTCTTCCTGGGCTGACTCTCGACCGGATCGGCGGTCCGCTCAGGGTTATGGCTTCTCTCTGGGCAGCGGCCTCATCAGCTGGCGGTCCACACGCTCCTCTGCCGTCGCCCTCTCCTCCTGCGAGGCAGAGCTCTACGCTGCAACCATGGCCGCGCAGGAGGCGCGCTGGCTCACCTTCCTCCTTGATGAGCTTGGAGCCCCCCAACGCTGTCCCACCATCTGGTGTGACAACGCTAGCACCATGCACCTCACCAAGGATGCTGTGTATCATGGGCGCTCCAAACACATTGAGCTCCGCTACTTTTTCATTCGTGAACTCGTTGAGGCCGGCCATCTTCGCCTTGGCAAAATCGACTCGGCGGCCAATCTCGCTGACATCTTCACCAAAGCTCTTCCCTAGGCGTCTCACTCCTTCCTTCTGCGCCTCCTTGGCCTCACCCCTCCTCCGGTTTTGGCGGCCTCCTGATTCCATTTTCTAGCCTTATGCCTGTTGGGGGGTTGTGTTGTAACTGTATCTTATATACAACATAGATAGGCTAGAATGGTGTAGCTCTTTATGTTCTTGGGGGGTTGGGTGTACACTCCAACCACATTTTGTGGTTGGTCAAGGTTGGGTTTGGTCTTGGTCCTTGGTTGGCACTTGCCAACTTTTGGTCCTAAGGCCTACCAATCACAACCTAGCAACATTGTGGGGTTACCTACTCCACAAGGCATCTCCCCCATTGGCCAACTTAGTGGCCAATAGGGTTTGCTCCTTCTTCACCCCTCTCTTGCTTGCATGCTTGTACTATAGAGCCTCAATGGCTCATCATTCAACTACTCTTGAATTCTATCAACACGCGCATACGCGCACACATGCAGCAGCACAGCAAGCTCACCACGAGTCTGTCTGCCGACCCCTGTATTTGAAACGCTGCCTGCATCTCACGGTCCACAAACCGCCACGTGTCATGGAAGTCTGCGGAAGAAGACGGGGCGGGAGGGAGGAGGGAAGGAGAAGAGAGAAAGAGAGAGGTAGGAGAGAGGGAGGTTGGAAGGGAGGGGACCAGGAAGTGGGAGGGAGAAAGGACTGAGGTGAAGGAAGGAAGCACAGGCGAATTGAGCTTCACCAAACACACGTGGTATGATTGGCAAGCAACCCCAGCAGCAGCAGCAGCAGCACTCGCCCCAGCCACAAATCCCTTGGGATACACACAGCCCTCCAACCCCTTCAGAGGACTCAGTGCAGTAAAACAAACCAAAGCTCACTGATGCTCGCACATCCCAGCACATAGCCCCACCTGGCGAGAAATCAGTGAGCATGTGGACCTCCGCAGCAGCATAGGCAGAGCCAAGCAGCACGCGGTATGCCAGCAGATGAGCGTCGCTGCACCGCACGCCCACCGCACTCCACATGCTCGCTGCCAGCTGCCTCCGCTGCCGCAATGATTCGCACGCGTTGGACGGCCGCGCCTGGTGGGTGGTGGGGAGGGGGCAGGGAGGGGTGGGGATGGGGTGGGGATGGGGTGGGGAGGGGGCAGGGAGGGGTGGGGATGGGGTGGGGATGGGGTGGGACAGTGGAAGTTGTGTGAGGAAACGGTGGTGGGGTGGGTGGGAGATGCCTGAGGAGAGGATATACGAGGATTGGGAAAGGTGGAAGGGAGGAGGTGGGAGGAAAGGGAGAAGTGGGCATGGGCAGATGACAGAGGGAGGGGCAAGAGGGTGAAGGGCAACAAGGTGAGAGGCATGTGATTCATGCTCTGGACTGGCCACATTGACCTGCAACATGTACCGATGTGTGTGTGAGTAGCGTCTTCATCAGAGATCCCACACGCGCCACATGCCCCCAACGTCCCCCACGCCCCCCAGCCTCGTGCACACCCCTTGCTCCCCATTCACACAACCACCTGCCTCCTGCTGGCGCTACTGACCTGGATGGCGAGCGCCTGCGCCCAGGAGGACGTGCAGGGCGCCTGCAGGCGCAGGCGCATGCGAATAGCAGCCGCCATGCGGCTTTGCAGCGCCAACGAGTCCCCCTCCTCGTACCTGCCCCCGCACGCCTGCCCTCCACTGCCGCTGCTGCTGCTGTGGGTGTGCGGGGTGGTGCCGGGAGCGACAGTGGCAACAGCGATGGGCGTGTGGGGGAACTCCGCCTCAAACTGCCTGCGACACCGGTCCATGAAGAACTGGCCGGGATGAGATTGGGAACGGGGGGGCGGATTGAAGAGGGGAAGGGGGGGGGGAGAGTGGGTGGGGATGGGAGAGGGGGGAATGGAAAGGGGTGGTTGCCGGATGCTGGAGGCTGTAGCAGGGGTGTTGTGAAAGAAGTAACAGGACGAAGGGTGAGTCAGGACAAGGCAGGACAAGGGAGCGGGATTAGGTCAGGGTGGTGCGGAAGGGAAGGAGAGGCAGGAAGAATGGACTCCAACAACGAATGCAAGCCCGTCCTGGTTCACAAACCACCTCGCCCCAGCATCATACCCCTCACCTCGCCCACTCCCTTCAACAGCCCTGCTGGCTACTCCCCCCTGGCATCAACCCCTAACCCATGAGTACCTCCCTTCCCAGCACAGCCCCTCTCAGCACTGGCATCCCATCCAGGAACGCACCTCCACCAGGTGCGCCTCCCCCCGGGGAAGCATTCCCAGTACGGAGGGCGAGAGGCCGTTGTCTCTGGCGCCCGCTATTAGCGCCGCACTGCTCCACCCTAGCGTGGGCTGAGGGGGACCGGTAGGAGCGCATGGTTGGTTGGTTGGGATGTGCATGGATAGATGCAGGCGCAGGAAGGGGGAGGGAGGAGGGGTGGAAGGGGGGTGAGAGAAAAGGAGAGCTGGGGGTTGGGAGGGAGTCGAACGAGAGCAAGCGGGTAGCCAAGCAGGCGAGAAGCGGACGGAAGTTGATGCGTGGACGACCAGCGTGCGACAGAAACTTCACATGCTGTTGCACCACTGATTGACTGCTAGTTTTCTATCCGGGGTGGATCCAGGCCCCCCTGCTTTCAGCATGTCCTTTCAGTCCAAGCCAGTCCCCACTGCCGTGTCTCACCACATGGGTCAAAGCAGCCTGCAGAACTGCAGCCTTCACCGCCTCTCCATCCTCGCCCCTGCCGCTGCCACTGCTGCCACTGCTGTTGGTCCCTGCAGAATCGCCAGCGGCAGCAGCACCAGAGGAATGTGTGGTATGTGCGTCACGACCCCCCCGCGAACCACCAGCTCCTGCCACAAACAGCGTGTGAGGGTCACGGGATGCAGATGTTGGGGAAATGCGGGTAGGTATGCGCGGGAGGGAGGGGAATTGGCGAGCGGGGAAGGGAGGGTGGAGGGGGGGTGGGGGGACGTTACTGTTGCTGCTGGCTACATTCCATACTGCACTTGCCCTCCCGGCTATGGCATGCTCAGCATTGGTTGCGTCAGTGGTAAGCCCAATGCTTGCGTTCTAGATGTGGCGGGCGACAAACTGGTTTCCAGCGACACAGAAACTGAAATGTGCACATGAGAGAAACGAGGGCAAGGAGAGAATGTGCATGCACGCTAGGCGCAGGGGTAAAAAATCGCACATCCCATTTTTGAGGCGCCTCAAAAATCGCACATCCCATGCCCCCTCTGATCTTTCAAGTGCTGCGTGCCGTCACACTCCTGGGATGGGGTGCTTTTCTGTGGGCAGCCGCGCACAACCCACCTGCCTCAGAAGCGGCCTCGCTGCTTCTCCCACTGCTTCCCCTCGGATCGCCGCCGCCACTTGTCACGTGCACAGTGGCGGACGAATGGAGAAGCGCCATATCACTAAACGCAACAAGGCTTCTCGATTGCCTGATTGACACCCTTCGATCAGATCCGGCGTATCTTGCAAGATCGTATCGCGATCCAATTGCTGGCTTTTGTTCGTCGACACGTTGCAGCTGAGGCGGCGCAAGACATTCGGCTTCGCAGTCTTTCCCGTAGTGCCTCCCGTAGTGCCTCGCTACCGCGCCGCTACCGGACATGGATTCAGAGAAGATCGTATCGAATCTGTTGCTATGACTTGCGGACTGAGATGCCGTGCTTTGGAGAGAAGGAGTCGCAAGGCGCGCGGCGACTACTGGAAGAAAGGCCTTTGGCGCTGCATCGCGCGTGAGGAGTCGGAGCGCAGACGCCATTTCTGCCCTGCTGCGCGCTCTTAGAAGAAACTGGTTTGGTGTGCCTGGTCTGGTATTGAAAGGAGGAGCAAAATAAATTTATGCTCGTCCTGGTGCAAGTAGGCACAAGCATGCTTTGACTCGAGAAATGGACGTTGTAGCCAATCCGCAAGCAGCGCGTGTTCTTCGATACACCACTCAAAAAGTTCTCTGCGTGTCAGTTATACCAAGTTCTACGCTCGCATCGCGGTGACTTCTTAGGGGGTATTATTGGTGACGATACAAGCTCTTTCTGAAGAACCTCATAGAATGCGGAAATTATACCTGTACTAACCACCCCAAACCTTCATGTGCCCAAATCCAGTGTGGAGAATACCTTAGCAAAAATACTCAAGGTAACGAGAATTGCTATATTAACCCAACTCAAACAGCTGCCATCATCATATCTTCTCCAGTTTGCTCCAACCTAAGGATATACATCCTGCTGCTGCTGGCACGCGCAGGCAGCACCATGGGAGCAGGCATGCAGGAGGGGCGGGGACTGGTGTTCACGAGTGACATGACATGGCGGAGGATGTGTGTGGAGAGGAAGCATGCCGTACAGGCAGCTGGGGGAGGTGGACTGTTACCCGCACTGGGGTTACCACCAGTCGTTGCCTTGGCTGTGGCACCCTCAAGGGCTCCATGCAAAGGAGTGTTTGGTTGGAGCAGTGGGGTTTGGGTAGCAGAGGCTGCTTGCAGGAGTTGGAAGAGGCTGGATTGCTGCTGCGAGGGATGAGGTGCGGTGGGGAGGGGTTAACACAGAAAACGTTAATGTCAGGAGACAAGAAGTGAGACTCAAACACCTACTGAGAAGGCGAAATGGAAGGTGAGTGCATGATACACTGTGCTAGAAGTACATGCAACCACAATCGCCATGGCAGCTTGGCTTGGCATACACACAATGCAGCACTGATCACCCCCTCTCACCATGCCCTCTTCTTCATCAGCAGCATCACCACTATCAGCATGAGCATCACGGCGCGTGGAGGAGGGCAGGGAGCCGTTGCCATAGCAGGCGAGGCAGGGAGGCGGCTCTGGGGAGCGGTAGAGGCAGAGCGCGCCGAGCTGCTGGTGGGGCGCCAGCTGAATGAGCGGATCCCAGCTGTGGGGTGGTGAAGGGGGGAGCATGGGGGAAGAGGTGAGCGGGTGAAGATGGGAGAAAGAGGGTGCTGCAGAGAGAGGGGGAAGAAACAGGGATCTGAAAAGAAAGAAGCCACTGACAGGTGATGTGGTATGGCATGATGGCAAGGCATGGCGTGGCAAGGAGTGGAGTGGCAAGGAGTGGGGTGCAATGGCATGCGTGGGATCAAATGGCTTGGCATTTCATGGTTGCAGCTGAATGCATGACTCACACGTCAGCGATGCTGTACGCCAGGTGACTAGCCTCTGCAGCAAAGGTCAGATGCCGCCGCTGTGCTGCACTGCGTGCTCCAGCTGCCCTGCAGAGGAACGCACAGGCAGGCGAGCACACACATGGCAGACGGCACGGGACCGGACAGGAAAGACGAGCTCCAATCAGCACAGACGGACGGGTGCACCCGGAAAAGGCAGAAGACACAAGGCAGCTGCAACCAATGCGGCATCCATCAAAGCTGCAAGCTTGAAACCACGACGGCAGGCAGGAGTTGAGTCACAGGGGCGTCATGGGTGCTTGCCTGCTCGTCAGTGTGCAGGCAGATCACATACTCCCTCGCCTCACACGCTCTTGCGCTCCCACCGTCACACAGACAGTCACACACACACACACACACACACACACACACACACACACACACACACACACACACACACACACACACATGCTTGGATGATGCTGGGACTCACGAGAAGGCAAGCACCGGCAACACGAGAGACCCCGAGAAGAGAGCGTCTTTATCAGCAGCAGCAGCAGCAGCAGCAGCAGCAGCAGCAGCAGCAGCAGCAGCAGCAGCAGTAGCAGCAGCAGTAGCAGCAGAAGTGGCAGTGAGAGCACGGGAGGAGAGAGATGGTGTGGTGGAGAGGGGAAGCGGGGCAGAGGAGAAGGCAGCAGAGGCAAGCACTGCCAGGCCTCCTCCTAGGCTGTGACCTGTGGATGGGGCGAAGGAGTGAGGACGACGGGATGCGGATGGGTTGGAGGGTCGGGGAAATGGCACGTGGGAATGCGACGTATGATTCTTATGAGATGATTGTCAATGTGGCCAGCATGCATGTTACTTACGGGCATGTGAAGGCAAGTGCATGCATGCCCTCTCTCAATCACTAGCGCGTTGCGTTCATCCACGCTCCTACCCACCTCATCCCCCCCCCACCCCCAGGCAATCCCAAAAGCAGCAGCACAGCACGGGCACGCAGGCCCTTAGGGGACAGGTCAGGGCGTCACCTGTGAGAAGCACAGGGGTGTCGCGACCATACACGGACAGCACCTGTGGCCGTGCAGTGCAGTTGAGAGTGAGAGTGAGGGTGAGAGTGGGAGGGAGTGAGTGAGTGAGAGAGGACAAGGCATTAGCAGAGGCGAGGAGGTGAAACACGCACGGGAGAGGACCGGCTCAGAGGCATTTCTACGAGACGGAAAACAGTTGATGTGTGTTTGTGCGAGAGACGATAATGATTCACTGTCACAAACTCGCCCTCAAGTTTCTGGTCATAAGAAAATATAAAGAGGAGCCAGCCAGACAGGGGAGCCAGAAGTGCATGTACCATACATAAGGTGCCTCCCCCTTGCTTTCCCCCCTCCCTCTGATTCCTCATTTCTCTTTTTCTCTCCACCATCCCTCCTCTCTTACCCCCACCCAAACTCCCTTGCTCTCTTTTCCTCATCCTTCTCCCCAGCCCCCGTCTCCCCACCCTCACCTTTTCCACGAGCGCCAGTGCCTGGGAGTAGTAGTCAAGGGTGGCGGGGGGGAAGAGCGCGCAGAAGGCAGGGGGAGGCGCGGAGGGGTCCCCCCACAGCAGGTGATCCGCGCACAGGTCCGCCTGCTGCTGCCGCTGCTGCTGCTCGGGGGAGGGGTACGGCGGGGAGGGGGAGGGGGAGGGGGAGGGGGTGGGGGAGGGGGAGGGAGAGGGCGGATGTGGAGGAGGGGGAGGAGGCGGGTGGGGCGTGAAGTTGGCGAGGAGGGTGCCTCGGAAGGCAATGACGATGCGGGGAGACGGGGGAGAGGCGGAGGAAGAGGCGGAGGGTGCAAGAGAGGAGGGCACTGTTGATGGCGGGGACTGTGGAGAAACATCACCTCCTGCTCCGCCTGTCATTGGGCCCCCGCCTGGCAACGTCCCCTCTTTTGCTGCTGCATCTCCCTCGGCTGCTGCGCTGCCCTCTGAACCGCGCCCTGCCTCGTTGCATGGCGTGTCCTCCTGCACAAGCGGGCACGGTGGGGTCGGGCAGAGAGCGGTCCAGGCAGGTGAGCGGTTGCAATGTGCCACATGCAGTACAGTTGGACAGATCGCTGGCAGGTGTGTGGATGAGGAGTGACGGGACGCGAAGAGGCGGAGAGATAGATGAAGGAAGAGCGAGTGGGAGCAGGAGAAACGGATAAATTGCAAGAGTGAAAATAGCAAGTCTGATGGTTCGCCTACATCCATCCCCTCCCCCGTTCCATCCGAACCAATCTCGAGGGTGCCCCTCCCCACAAAGCACTCTTCCCCCACTAGCCATGCGCCAAACTCCCCGCTACCCGCGCGTCCCCCCCACCTCGAACACGAGCGCGTGCATGCCGCCGTCGATCGGCGAAACGGGCGGAACTTTCTCCGCCAGCCGCCACCCCGCCACCTCCTTCACGGGCGCGAACGACCACCGGTACGCGTTCGCCGCCAGCTGCGCCATCGGCGCAACCAGCGCGCGGTAATCCGCGTCGCTCGCCGTCGGCAGTCGCGATAGTTCCTCCCATGACGATCTCTCACCGGCCGATCCCTGTCGCGCACCGCATCCGCGTTGCGGAGATCCTTCTTCGCGCGCGGACTCCCGCGCCAGTGATTCTGCGGAGACCGGATGGCGGGGCGCGGGGAGGGGAACGGCGGAGGCGGGCGGACGAGGGTGTGGGTGCGGTGGGTGCGCGGAGGGGTTGGTGGGAACAATGAAGGAGGAGTCGCCGCGGAGACAAATCGCGGAGAGGATTAGGAGGAAAATGAGGGAGGAAAGGAGGGGAGACGAGAGAGGGGAGCGGAGAATATTGAAAGGTCTATATGGTGGCGACGAGAAGCGGGTACGCGGAGATGGGGGCGCGGAGAGCGTAGCAGATGCGCTGGCGGCGCTCCGAGCAGCCATCGGGACAGCTTCACATGGCGGACACTGGAAGACGGGGAGCTTTGGGGGGGACGGGCTGGGGGGGATCGCGGACTCTAGGTGGATGAGAGGAAATGACAAAAAGCCTTGTTTGTTTGTTTCTGTTACGGGTGCAATGGATCGAGTTAGCGAGGATTGGAAGGTGTCAAACGAGTACAAAATGTGAGCAAAGTCATGAGCGAACATTTATACGCGAAACATGCAACCGGTAACGCGGTGCGTGCGAGCTAGCTAGTGCTATGCTGGCAGCGAGGCTTGGGCTAGTCCCGAAGCGTAGGCCGACACGGCCGGACCAGCAGTGCGAGGTTTGGCAAAACAGTGCGCGCGAAGTTGGCAAAGCCCCATTAGCAGTAACGGGCGAACAACGGCTGTTGTTGTACGCGATGTAGTCGGACTTTGTAAGGAATGCCGAGAAAATTCCTTACACTACCCCCCCCCCCCTCAAGAAGCCCCCTCCGCTACGCGAGTGCATGTATATCGCGGAATCCCCGGCTCCTCAGGTACACTTGCAGGGCAGGGTGGTTTTCGATGTTGGCCAGGGGCACCCAGCTATCTTCAGTTGGCGTGCGGTCCTTCCAGCAAACGAGGAATTCAATCCTTTTGATTCCCGTGGGGTGGTGAATTCGATGGCTCAGGATTTTTTCGGGCTCGATGATCGGCTCTGATGCACGGCGAGTCATGGAATGCGGGCGGTGATGAGGCAATTGGCTGGTGGTTGGGATGTATGGGCGAAGTAGGCTGACGTGGAACGATGGGCTGATGTACCAGTCGGTCAGTAACAGTAGGTACGCGGTTACTGGCGTGATCATGTGGCTGATTTGGAATGGGCCACAGTAACGCGGTCAAAGTTTCGGTACGTCGCGCAGTCGCAGATTGTGCGTATCGAGCATGAGAAAACTGAAACGAGAATGAATGAACTATGAATGAAGTGGGTACAAGTACTGACCCTAATTGGGTTGTACCCCCTATGGGATACCCCACTAAAGCCTACACAAAAGCATAAGCTATAATGTTCTGACACACCCCCATAGGCAAAGTGGGGGAGAACAGGGGGTCACAAGACCAGTCAAGCAAAGCAAAACAAAGCAAAGCTCAGGGTGGATCACAAAGTCACCCCACATTCCGAGCACAAGTACAAGGCCACAAGGCCAATTCACATGCAGGAGTACATATATATATATAAGGCTAGACAAGCAAGAGCAGGTATATATATATGTAACAGTACAAGCAAGGTCAAGAGGTGAGCAAGTGAGGCAAGACAGGGACAAGACCCAACTAAGTGCAGAAGCGCTGATGATCACAAGGCGGAAGTGACTTGGTGAAAACATCAGCAGTGTTGGCCTCAGAGGCCACGTACGCAAGCCGCAACTATCCACGCTGCTGTAGCTCATGAGCAAGAAAGTCGCGGAGAGCAATGTGCTTTGTTCTGTGCTCCAGTCGTTGCTCTCGACACAAGGCCAGCATGGCCTTGTTGTCTACGTACAGCACTGGAGGAGAACGAGGCGGCTCTCCGAGGTCAGTCAGCAGGTAGGTGAGCCAGCGAAGCTCCTGTGCAGCCATGGCCCCTGCGTAGATCTCAGCCTCACAACTGGAGCCGAGAACAGAAGACGAGCGAGTAGCCCGCCACGAGACAGAACCGGAACCAAGGCTGAAGGTGCCCAAGAAGCGTCTGCGTGCCCAGTAAGGACGACTGCGTAGCCTGGTCGTCAGCCCAAGAAGCGTCTGCGTGCCCAGTAAGGACCACTGGACTACGCCCTCCAAGCACTAGCCCCATGCCCGACGTACTGCACAAGTAGCGCAACACCCTCTTCGCTGCAGCCATGTGCTCTGGTCGGTGTCTCCCAGGAGCAACATACCGTGCGAGAATGCTAAGAGGGTATGCAAGGTCAGGTCGTGTGCAGGTCATCAGGTACATGAGGCAGCCAACAAGCTCTGGGTACGGGCCACTCGACTCTACGGACTCATCCGAAGGCAAAGCTGAGAGCGAGTGGCGAGTAGGCAGAGGAGTGGCTTGAGGCGAGGAGTACGTGAAGCCGAAGCGCAGAAGGACCTGCTGCACCATGTGTGACTGAGTCAAGGTAATGGTGCGGCATGCTCTGTCCCGGGTGATCTGCAAGCCAAGGTAGCTGCGCAGTTCACCCAGGTCTGTGCACGTGTGTCTCTTCTGCAGCTCGGACTTCACGTAAGCGAGTCCAGCAGTGTCAGCTGTGGCAAAGACCAAGTCGTCGACGTACACGAGGATGTAGAACGGCGGGAGAGAGGTGTCGGTGCGTAGAAACAGCGACGGGTCAGCAGTAGAAGGAGCAAACCCAAGAGCCGCAAGTGTAGTCCTCAGTGTGTCGTGCCTCTCACATGGCGCCTGGCGGAGACCTTAAAACTGGACGCCGGAGGCTCCACTGGGTACCAAGAGGGAACGACCTAGTGAAGCCAGGTGGGCGGCGCAGCCAGATCTCGTCGTGCAGGCTGCCCTGCCAGAAAGCTGTGCTGAAGTCGAGAGAGTGCAGCTCGTAGTTACGGTGAGCTGCAACGTGCAGCAATACCCGAAGAGTGGTCATCTTCGGGGTGGGAGAGAAGGTTTGAAATTAGTCAACTCCCTGCCGCTGACTGAAGCCACGAGCCACGTAACGTGCCTTGAAGACAGGCGGAGAACCCGGCGGCCGCTTCACTCTGAAGATCCACATGCCACTGACGATGTTCGCCCCAGGAGGGGGAACGGCGTCAACGTAGGTGCCTGTGGACTTCCAGGAAGCCATCTCTGCGTCCATAGCTGCCTGCCACTGAGAGGAGTAGGGACCCTCTATCGCCTCCGCGTAAGAGCGCGGAGTTGGGATGTCAAGTGCATCCGGGTCTCCCTCAGGGGTAAGCAGTACGGACACGAGATGAGGTGAAGCAGCGGCCAAGCAGTGGAACTCCTCCTGCCTGTCCTCAAGGACGTCCGTGCCAAGGGTACACTCACCCCCGACGGAAGGAGGACAAACAGACTCAGACTCAGCAACAAGACTGGCAGCGTAGTCTAGACGACAGCGAGCAGCAAAGTCGACGAGCTCAGCAACTAGGGCAGACGCAGCAGTGGACTTAAAGGAAGGGCCAGTGACAACAGTAGCAAGGAGACGCGTGACAGTAGGACTGGCAGCACGAAGAGAGTCCGACTCCGGGTCGGCAAGAGCAGGAAGAGAAGACTCAGGAGGAGAAGGCAAAGGGGCACGCAGAGGAGCAGTGCACGGATGCAGAGACATCCGGTGCGTGCCAGGGACAGGAGGAGGACGCTGACGCGAACCGCGACCACTAGTGCGAGCAGCACGGACAGGCGATGCAGGGCGAGACGCAGGCTCACGACGTTGAGCAAGACCTGCAGTAGGACCAGTGTAGGGAGACGAAGCAGGCACTGGGGAGGCCGGCTGTAACTGTAACTGTGACGGGAGAGGCTGTGGAGACTCTAAGGGAGGAGGAGGACCAGTAGAAGGAGGGAGACCAAGAACCTGCTGAAGGAGCGGAACGAAGTACGGCCGAGGCCGTGCGGCGACTCCAGACACAGCAGGGACAGCACCAGTACCCCCAGCGGCAGCACCAACACCAGCAGCACCTCCAGCTCCAGTACCTCTAGCAGTACCAGTAGTACCCTCAGCAAGACCGCCTCCAGGATCGACAGCAGTAGCCTCCGCGCCAGCACCCGAAGCAGCTCCCGCTCCAGAAGTATCCGCAGGCCCCAGCAGCTCCAGTACTCCGAGTAGGAGCACCGCCGGGACCCGCGGCACCAGCACCCAGAGCAGCAGCAGAACCTCCAGTACCCGCAGCACCTGCAGCTCTAGCAGCTCGCCTCCAGCGCCGGGCAAACCACTCACGCAGCTCCTGTGGAGAGAGTGGCTCCCAGCGAGACGAAGCACCCGGAGAACCGCCAGGCTCAGCACCGCCAAACGCCCCACGAGAAGGCTCAGCTCCCTCAGGCTCAGCACCTCCAGGCGTAGCACCCCCAGGCTCAGTACCCCCAGGCTCAGCACCCCCAGGCGTAGCACCCCCAGGCTCAGCACCCCCAGACTCAGCACCCCCAGGCTCAGCACCCCTAGTCATAGTACCCACACGCTCAGCACCCCCACAGTCAGCACCCCTAGAGTCAGCACCCCCAGGCTCAGCACCCTCAGCAGCACCAGAGTCACCAGCGACCTCGACAGGCTCGACAACGTCTACCTGGGACACACCTGAAGGGGTAGGACCCTGAGGGGGGAGGGGGTCTACCGCAGGGGGACCTGGCACAAGGAAGAGCGGTGGCGGGGGGAGGGACGGAGTGCGGTAGGGGAAGAGACGGTAGTAGGGGACCGACTCGTCGAACGTGACGTCCTGGGAGGACAGAACACGGCGAGAGGTGGGGTGGTAGAACTGCCACCCTGGCGCGTCAGGGGGGAAGCCCAGGAAGACGCAAGGAGCTGCACGAGGGGACAGCTTGTCCGCAGACAAGTCGCGAACAAACGCCCGAGATCCTTAGACACGGAACGCAGACGCATCGCCAACCTTCCCCGTCCACAGCAAGGCTGGGGAGGTCTCCG